GTAACTATGTGATATCTATTGTAACTATGCGATATCTATTGTAACTATGTGATATCTATTGTAACTATGCGATATCTATTGTAACTATGTGATATCTATTGTAACTATGCGATATCTATTGTAACTATGTGATATCTATTGTAACTATGTGATATCTATTGTAACTATGCGATATCTATTGTAACTATGTGATATCTATTGTAACTATGTGATATCTATTGTAACTATGTGATATCTGTTGTAACTATGTGATATCTATTGTAACTATGTGATATCTATTGTAACTATGTGATATCTATTGTAACTATGTGATATCTGTTGTAACAAAAATGAAAACTAATCACATTAATAACCCCACAAGGTGATCTTCCCCCGCGACCTAGGGAAGACACGCGTCCGCCATATCGAGAAAAGCTCTATAACACTACGTAACCATTCGAGACAACAAAACCATTCCTTAACCCAAACACAACCTAGGTTTTATCATTTCATGTCAATATTTACGTTTTGAAGCCTAGGGGTAATGCAGAGAGGTTTCCTGAAAACTTGTAAACAGCTGAGATGTGACCTAGATATGTCTGTAATATCTCTAGACAAGGTTGGGTACAAAACACACACTCGTGTCAACAACACGGGAACTCGACATACCCAACACTGGATTACTCTGGATTAGAGGTTTTCTATTGTCAAATCCTGCAGGAATGATTTCCTGAATAATGCTTCTGACTTGATTTTATAAGGATGAAAGCAAAATCATCATCATCATCATCATCATCATCATCATCATCATCATCATCATCATCATCATCATCATCATCATCATCATCATCCGTCATGAAAAAACTACATTCATCAAATACGTGACCGTTTCCGTACCCTACATCGCCTTAGTGGTATATCAATGTTTGGTCATTATTTTTCTCTACAACACCTGTCACCTTCAAATGTGTCAACTTCTTTACTTTACAACACCTGTCACCATCAATTGTGTCCACGACTCTACAACACCTGTCACCTTCAAATGTGTCCACTACCCTACAACACCTGTCACCTTCAAATGTGTCCACTACTCTACAACACATGTCACCTTCAAATGTGTCCACAACTCTACAACACCTGTCACCATCAAATGTGTCCAATACTTTTCTCTACAACACCTGTCACCATCAAATGTGTCAACTTCTTTACTTTACAACACCTGTCACCATTAAATGTGACCACTACTTTACAACACTTGTCACCATCAAATGTGTTCACTACTCTTCAACACCTGTCACCATCAAATGTGTCCACTACTTTACTCTACAACACCTGTCACCATCAAATGTGTCAACTACTTTACTCTACAACACCTGTCACCATCAAATGTGTCCACTAACTTACTCTACAACACCTGTCACCATCAAATGTGTCAACTACTTTACTCTACAACACCTGTCACCATCAAATGTGTCAACTACTTTACTCTACAACACCTGTCACCATCAAATGTGTCCACTACTTTACTCTACAACACCTGTCACCATCAAATGTGTCCACTACTTTACAACACCTGTCACCATCAAATGTGTCCACTACTTTACTCTACAACACCTGTCACCATCAAATGTGTCAACTACTTTACTCTACAACACCTGTCACCATCAAATGTGTCCACTACTCTACAACACCTGTCACCATCAAATGTGTCCACTACTTTACTCTACAACACCTGTCACCATCAAATGTGTCCACTACTACACTACAACACTGTCACCATCAAATAACTACACCACACAACACCTGTCACCATCAAATGTGTCAACACCTGTCACCATCAAATGTGTCACTACTTTACTCTACAACACCTGTCACCATCAAATGTGTCCACTACTTTACTCTACAACACCTGTCACCATCAAATGTGTCCACTACTCTACAACACCTGTCATCATCAAATGTGTCCACTACTCTACAACACCTGTCACCATCAAATGTGTCCACTACTCTACAACACCTGTCACCATCAAATGTGTCCACTACTCTACAACACCTGTCACCATCAAATGTGTCCACTACTCTACAACACCTGTCACCATCAAATGTGTCCACTACTTTACAACACCTGTCACCATCAAATCTGTCCACTACTCTACAACACCTGTCACCATCAAATGTGTCCACTACTTTACAACACCTGTCACCATCAAATGTGTCCACTACTTTACAACACCTGTCACCATCAAATGTGTCCACTACTCTACAACACCTGTCACCATCAAATGTGTCCACTACTTTACTCTACAACACGTCACCATCAAATGTGTCCACTACTCTACAACACCTGTCACCATCAAATGTGTCCACTACTCTACAACACCTGTCACAATCAAATGTGTCCACTACTTCCACTACTCTACAACACCTGTCACCATCAAATGTGTCCACTACTTTACAACACCTGTCACCATCAAATGTGTCCACTACTTTACAACACCTGTCACCATCAAATGTGTCCACTACTTTACAACACCTGTCACCATCAAATCTGTCCACTACTCTACAACACCTGTCACCATCAAATGTGTCCACTACTCTACAACACCTGTCACCATCAAATGTGTCCACTACTCTACAACACCTGTCACCATCAAATGTGTCCACTTCTTTACTCTACAACACCTGTCACCATCAAATGTGTCCACTACTCTACAACACCTGTCACCATCAAATGTGTCCACTACTCTACAACACCTGTCACCATCAAATGTGTCCACTACTTTACAACACCTGTCACCATCAAATGTGTCCACTACTTTACTCTACAACACCTGTCAACATCAAATTTGTCCACTACTCTACAACACCTGTCACCATCAAATGTGTCCACTACTTTACAACACCTGTCACCATCAAATCTGTCCACTACTCTACAACACCTGTCACCATCAAATGTGTCCACTACTCTACAACACCTGTCACCATCAAATGTGTCCACTACTCTACAACACCTGTCACAATCAAATGTGTCCACTACACTACTTTACAACACCTGTCACCATCAAATGTGTCCACTCTACAACACCTGTCACCATCAAATGTGTCACTACTACTGTGTACTACTACAACACCTGTCACCATCAAATGTGTCACAACACCTGTCACCACTACTCTACAACACCTGTCACCATCAAATGTGTCCACTACTCTACAACACCTGTCACCATCAAATGTGTCCACTACTCTACAACACCTGTCATCATCAAATGTGTCCACTACTCTACAACACCTGTCATCATCAAATGTGTCCACTACTCTACAACACCTGTCACCATCAAATGTCACAACATCAAATGTGTCCATCAAATGTGTACTACTACAACACCTGTCACCATCAAATGTGTCTGTCACCACTACTCTACAACACCTGTCACCATCAAATGTGTCAACCTGTCATCATCAAATGTGTCCACTACTCTACAACACCTGTCACCATCAAATGTGTCAACTACTTTACTCTACAACACCTGTCACCATCAAACGTGTCCCTTACTTTACTCTACAACACCTGTCACCATCAAATGTGTCCACTACTTTACTCTACAACACCTGTCACCATCAAATGTGTCCACTACTTTACTCTACAACACCTGTCAACATCAAATTTGTCAACCTGTCACTTTACTCTACAACACCTACAACACCTGTCACCATCAAATGTGTCCACTACTTTACAACACCTGTCACCATCAAATGTGTCCACTACTTTACAACACCTGTCACCATCAAATGTGTCCACTACTTTACAACACCTGTCACCATCAAATGTGTCCACTACTTTACTCTACAACACCTGTCATCATCAAATGTGTCTACTACTCTACAACACCTGTCACCATCAATTGTGTCAAATACTTTTCTCTACAACACCTGTCACCATCAAATGTGTCCACTTCTTTACTCTACAACACCTGTCACCATCAAATGTGTCCACTACTTTACAACACCTGTCACCATCAAATGTGTCCACTACTTTACTCTACAACACCTGTCACCATCAAATGTGTCCACTACTCTACAACACCTGTCACCATCAAATGTGTCCACTACTTTACTCTACAACACCTGTCACCATCAAATGTGTCCACTACTTTCATCAAATGTGTCAAATGTACTTTACTCTACAACACCTGTCACCATCAAATGTGTACAACACTACAAATGTGTACTCTACAACACCTGTCACCATCAAATGTGTCCACTACTACTCTACAACACCTGTCACCATCAAATGTGTCAACACTCACCATCAAATGTGTACTCTACAACACATCAAATGTGTCACCATCAAATTTGTCCGCTACTTTACTCTACAACACCTGTCACCATTGAATGTGACCACTACTATACAACACCTATCACCATCAAATGTGTCCACTACTTTACTCTACAACACCTGTCACCATCAAATGTGTCAACTACTTTACTCTACAACACCTGTCACCATCAAATGTGTCCACTACTTTACTCTACAACACGTCACCATCAAATGTGTCCACTACTTTACAACACCTGTCACCATCAAATGTGTCCACTACCTTACACTACAACACCTATCACCATCAAATGTGTCCACTACTTTACTCTACAACACCTGTCACCATTAAATGTGTCCATTACTTTACAACACCTGTCACCATCAAATATGTCCACTACTCTACAACACCTGTCACCATCAAATGTGTCCACTACTCTACAACACCTGTCACCATCAAATGTGTCCACTACTTTACAACACCTGTCACCATCAAATGTGTCCACTACTTTACTCTACAACACCTGTCACCATCAAATGTGTCCACTACTTTACTCTACAACACCTGTCACCATCAAATGTGTCCACTTCTTTACTCTACAACACCTGTCACCATCAAATGTGTCCACTACTCTACAACTGTCACCATTAGATGTATGATCACTACCTTTCTCTAGCACACGTGTTCATTATTAGAAGAAAGTCGAATCGTGTTTTTAATGTTTTTATTTGCGATTTATAAAAATAAAATCAGTAAAGACAAAATAACCATAAATAACAACAAAATAAGATCACCGTTCACATCGTAGTCCTAGTATTCCATTCTCACCAATCGAGGATGTTATAGTCTGTTTCTGATTTCTCCAGGTACTTCAGAACGATCCGTACCAAATGGAATGTTAGGATTCATCTACGAGCATGCAACCCTTAATCCCACGAAAACTGGTCCAGACCAACGCTTAACGTTGGGTGAGGTGGATAGGGTCATCGTAATTCTCATTGCCCAAATATTCAATTATCTTTGAATCCAGTCGGATCCAGTGTCGGTTACATGACGTCATCAGGACGTTCGTCTTGCTTTAATAAGCTCTAAACGTGAAATATTTTGGAACTCCTCTCGGGCGTTCCAGAATGTATTGAGGCAGTGTTTTATCGCACAGCGACGTACTCTCTCTTATGGGAACAGTTACTCCACACATCGTCCACATTTGTTCCACACCTATGTCTACGTTCTGCCTTTGTAAATGCGCACTTTGGGAATCGTTGGGACATTACATTACCTCGAAAGAGGAAACTACAGATCGAGGTCAACAGGATTGGTCTGAAATGATATTTGAGAGAGAGAATGTATATGAAAATGACCAAATCAGCAATGGAATAGGAGTATTCTGCCCGCGTGCTCATATTGACACGATCAGTGGTGAGACAATGATGCGAAACTGGAGTGGTCAGGACGAGCCTGATGCGCGGGCATCCATTCAGGTCATATGGGACCGTGTTGACAGGACGGCGCCACTTCCTTGAGATCAGAGGTTTTCCTATGAGGAACCACTCGAAAACTGAAATAAATAGTTTTTCAAGATCAGAAACTGTATCGCCAACACAAAAAAACAAGATTATCATCACGAGAAACATGTTTGGGATATAAGAAACAACAATTTTGTCAACACGAGAAACAAGTTCATCAACACAAGAAACAGTCAATAAGGCTTCATTAGCTTCTAAAAATAATTGAAGGCAGTCACGAGAACTGTCTGTATTACTACCACTGTAAAACACTATCCATCCTTACATCGGTGGATACTATGATAAACGATGTCATGGTGTGAATTACTTACAAGCATCTTACCTAGCCATTAAACTCTTTTCTAACAATGCCTCTCCTCCGGCTCTTCGATCTCTTCTTGTTTTTTCGTCTCCTACTAACACTCCGACTTTTCCTCATGCACTGTCTCTTGCAATGTCTGCGTTTCCGGAAGTAGTTACCGAAAGAGGACTTGCAAGCCTTGACCCTTACGCACGAGCCCTTTTCAAGACTGAAATGCCACCTCATAACGGTCCTGCCTCTGCATCGGCTGGAGTCTTCTAATGCGAGAAGGCATATGTTGGTCTCGTTACTGGTTTCTCTGGAGGGTATGCGGTTGAGGTTGGCAAAATTTCCTTCAAAGTAAGATAGGAAAACACTAACATTAGAGACATGACAGGAGTTCTACAAAAATATATTTGCATTTGTATTTCACACTGAAAATTATATGAATTCAAATTAGATATCCCCGAGGATACACCCAAGGATCGGGGCCTCTGTCACCCCGAGGATACACCCAAGGATCGGGCCTCTATCACCCCCGAGGATACACCCAAGGATCAGGGCCTCTATCACCCCGAGGATACACCCAAGGATCGGGGCCTCTATCACCCCCGAGGATACACCCAAGAATCGGGGCCTCTATCACCCCGAGGATACACCCAAGGATCGGGGCCTCTATCACCCCCGAGAATACACCCAAGGATCGGGGCCTCTATCACCCCCGAGGATACACCCAAGGATCGGGGCCTCTATCACCCCCGAGGATACACCCAAGGATCGGGGCCTCTATCACCCCCGAGGATACACCCAAGGATCAGGGCCTCTATCATCCCGAGGATACACCCAAGGATCGGGGCCTCTATCACCCCCGAGGATACACCCAAGGACCGGGCCTCTACCAACCCCGAGGATAAACCACAGTATCGGGGCCACGATCAACACATTCTTTGCTAATCAGGTACAGCCGTCCAAGGACGGAATGTTGGAAAATGTACTTTTCGTTTCCTCGAAGAAAACACATTCCGCTGAAGGTCAATGAAATAAATGTTTGTGTCATACCGTGGGTTGAGTTCAATGTTTTTGTTTTTCGTGTAAATGTTGGCGCTGATTATTGCGTAGGATGTGCCCAGTCATGGTATTGTGAGAGAAAACAGAGATGTTTCGCGTGCCTTTCATACCAGGTGATGGAGCGATTTTTTAATGTTGTTTCTGTATTAGTCAAGTTGGACACACATGAGTACATTTGATCCATTCAGTTTGACAAGACGGATAAACACCAACCGGCAAAAATAATAAACAGAAAATTACCACGCGGTCAGTCATGATGGTTATGCTTGTTCTGGTCAGTAAATGTCCAGTGATGACCAAGGGATAGAGAATGACATGGCAAATAATCAAACAGCGAAAAACAAACCTACGTCTCAATTTGAGTGAGAAATAGTGTTGCCACGTTTTTATTGAGGTTACAATCAAGTCAGGTTTGGGTTGCGACCGTAAATATTCAGAGGTTAAACGGTACAGCTTTCATCTTACTTTGCTTTTGAGTGTTTTTCGCCTTTTTAAAATTTTATTTTCATATTTTGTTTGTTTCTTTGTATGTGTGTGTTTATTTATTGTTTTTTTTTTTGTGCATTTTTTCTTTGTTTTTTGTTTTAATTACAAAGCAAGATTTCGAAACATAAACAATTATATATATATAATGTTTAAGTAAGATGAACCAATATAAAAACAATGCTGGGATATATCTACCTTTTTTCGATTTCGATGAAATGCATGTCCTTTTGCAATCTTTCCGACGTCTGAAGTTATTTCCTGGAGTTTGGCATCCACGGAACCTCAGGCACATCCCCTTGTTACTGTTAAAATAGTATCTTTTCTCCTTCCGGTCACACTTCCACGCTTCCGGTGGAGGTTGATCTACACATATATCTATGACGTCAGCAGTACCAGTGCCGCTGATGGAGGTACTGGAATCTTGCTGTAATCCGTCGATATTGAACACCTCATTGGTAATGGCTGACAATCCCATATTGTGTGCCATGGTGTTAGACAAACCACTTGTGGCAGATTTGTCATCTGTGAAAAAAAAATGTATAAAATGATTAATGAAAGCTAACATAATCCCATAAGTTATGCGAGTGCCCACCTGAGAATGAAATAGAAGCTTAATTGGAAGGAGAAAGGAAAACACGTTTATTACATACAGACCTTCAAGATGTTAATTATACACAAACTTGGATAATTTGAACATGTCTGAGATTTTTGCCGTGTAAACAGACTGACTCTCCATTACTGAACGTTCCGGCAGCGTCACAGACCACCAGACATACAGTGTATATGTTACGTAAGTGTTTCTACTTTATAGACATGCGAGATATTACTAATTTGGAGTGAAGGGTGTTCTGCTGAAATTGCTACACTACAAGTGCAAAGGTCACTCACTCCTTTTTTTCGGTTCTACTGACCTTCACACGCAGCCTCATGGTTACAGTGTCCTCCGCGACAGTTTTTGGCTTTTTTTATGACACATACCGTTCCCTCAAAGCAAAAGACGTTCTGAAAGAGAGAAAAGTACACCTGTCAAATACAGATTCTTGTTCATTGCAGAAGGTGTTATCGAATGACCAGACGTCTGATTAAGTTGTCTAAAACATGTCCGGCTGGTCACTCTGTCCACCTGGTATCAGAGGGAAGTACGTCACCTCCGCTACATATAACAATACCCCAGACAGTGTGCGCTGTCAGTTGGAAATTGATTTCTAACACAGTTATTGGGCGAAAGGCTGCATGTAGCGGTCAGATGGTGTGACTGTTTGTAGACAGGGGGCACTTTGTACACGGCGGACCATTAGTAAAGTCAACATTGTGACCGATGCAAAACACGAGAGAAATTCAGACGTAAAATGCCTGACAAGGTCATGAACAAAACATTTCTTCGCAACCCCGCGAGGTCAACAACAGGGGACATCTAAGCACTTACGAGACGAAGTGAATTAATTTCGGATTAAAAGACGTGGCAATTTTTATTTGCAACAGGTTCGAGCCCGCTAACAATTTGACATGTATGGCTGTTTTACGGTAAAGATATGCGGGTCTGCATTATGGTTATACACAAAGATTTACTCATTTCGACATTGTAGATGATCACCCATCAACAACCAATGGGCCCTAACCGCTCTATACACCGGTACAGTCATACAAGAAATAAATTACAGGTATATATATCATCGTAACGGGGACCAATTTGGGGTCAAATCAGTGCACTTGCGTATAAGCTTAATAATCCTATCAAGAAAGTTTCCCCCGTGGAGGAGTCGAAATAAGGGAAACAATAAGCCGATTATCATACGTCACTGGCTGTCAAAACCAAACAAATCCGTTTAATATAATCAAGTTATTTAAAATGCAGATTTGCACAGGAGAACCATCCCTTGCGTTTACCAATAGATCATCATCGTCGCAGATATAATTATGTATTAATCCTGGATTGAACGACAGAGAAACAATAGTAACAACGTCTACAGAAATAATCGTGTAGTCTATCACAGAGTGACAACAGATATAATCGTATAGTCTATCACAGAGTAACAACAGAAATAATCGTGTAGTCTATCACAGAGTAACAACAGAAATAATCGTGTAGTCTATCACAGAGTAACAACGTCTACAGAAATAATCGTGTAGTCTATCACAGAGTAACAACAGAAATAATCGTGTAGTCTATCACAGAGTAACAACGTCTACAGAAATAATCGTGTAGTCTATCACGGAGTAACAACAGAAATAATCGTGTAGTCTATCACAGAGTAACAACGTCTACAGAAATAATCGTGTAGTCTATCACAGAGTAACAACAGAAATAATCGTGTAGTCTATCACAGAGTAACAACAGAAATAATCGTGTAGTCTATCACAGAGTAACAACGTCTACAGAAATAATCGTGTAGTCTATCACAGAGTAACAACGTCTACAGAAATAATCGTGTAGTCTATCACAGAGTAACAACAGAAATAATCGTGTAGTCCATCACAGAGTAACAACGTCGACAGAAATAATCGTGTAGTCTATCACAGAGTAACAACGTCTACAGAAATAATCGTGTAGTCTATCACAGAGTAACAACAAATAATCGTGTAGTCTATCACAGAGTAACAACGTCTACAGAAATAATCGTGTAGTCTATCACAGAGTAACAACGTCTACAGAAATAATCGTGTAGTCTATCACAGAGTAACAACAGAAATAATCATGTAGTCTATCACAGAAAAACAACAGAAATAATCGTGTAGTCTATCATAGAGTAACAACGTCGACAGAAATAATCGTGTAGTCTATCACAGAGTAACAACAGAAATAATCGTGTAGTCTATCACAGAAAAACAACAGAAATAATCGTGTAGTCTATCACAGAGTAAGAATGTCTACCTGATTATCAGCAGAAGTCTTTTGCTTACGTGCCGATGTGTATTGACTACCTTTCTCGGTAGGTGAAAATCACATTAAAGCTTTGATAGCACTAAATACATGTCTCGTGTCGAGCACACCTGAGCTCTCGTGACAGGAACCAATCAGTGTAACCATTACAACGTTGATACAGGTAATAATTATCCCATTATAAAACCATATGGTGTGAAACAAGAGAGGCTATTCTGAATGGCTTTCCATTGTCTCTCTTCTGTATGCACTATCCCTCTCCATACCTATCAAATACCTCGACACATATTTATTTAATTACTTGGGTTATAACACTGGAGACGGTGTCCGAACAGGTGCACGAGGAAAATCATGGTGTTCAACATTAAGTGCAATCCGTCAATAATAGCTACAGGGGTTAAAGGAGAAACTATCGTAATTGTGACTGGGCATACCAAAGACGTCTCCGCATGCAGGTGCACGTGGTTGTGTTGATATATCTCCTAGATGAAAGGAACATTCAAATATAATACTATGCATCACAGTGCTGTGCGAAAGGTTTTATTTATATCTACATCCGTCTTCAATGTCAATGTGGGGCGAAAACCCGTTTGAATTACATATGAGTAACCTTAAACTACATTCGGTATTGCAACGTCTGAAGCAGCCCCTCGGTCGGTCTCGGTTTGATTGAAAGAAGGGTTGTTGTGAAATCCCATTGTGACTAATACATCACTATAAATATTTTCTAATGTAACTTTACTCGATCTGAATTTCCTTTCAACCATTCTGCTTTAGAACGTTATCATTACTGTAAACACCATCGTAAGCGCTGCTGTCTCTCTGCACGCGGGTTTCAACACTGGTAGAGTTCTAGCCTACATTCGCTCATGCCTATAAGCTTAGACCCAGTCCCACACTCTCATTCATGTCTCAAACATTAGCCGATCTCCCAGACACACACTCTCCTCCATGTCTCAAACATTTCCCGATCTCCAAGACACAAACTCTCCAACATTAGCCGATCTCCCCGACACACACTCTCATCCACGTCTCCAACATTAGCCGATCTCCCAGACACACACTCTCATCCACGTCTCCAACATTAGCCGATCTCCCAGCTACACACTCTCATCCACGTCTCCAACTTTCATCCCCCTCTGGTTTACATTACACAACTAGTCTATTATTGTAACAGAGGAGCAATCCAAATGCCCCATTGATAAACTATATTTAAGTATTTATCCCCGCCCACTCCTATTGCAATTTAATGCTGGGTTTTCGTTTTTCCGAACACCCTACTACATCTCCATCGTCTTATCTAGGATCTCAAGTGAAAGATATATATGCAAAAACAAAGCGACGAAATCCCATATACAGAACAAAAAAAATAAGAAATTTTCCTTCTGACATCCGAAATATCTATCTTTCTTGAAGAAGATCGTTATCTAGAAAATTTGAAATAACAATGTGAAATCAACAATAGTAAAGTGTTTTTTTTAAGTTGATGTGAAGATCTGTACCCAAACTTACAACTCAAACTATTGACAAGCAAAAACATCGTCACAGGCAACAATGGAAACAACATCGAACCACCTACCATTTTCTAGTCTAATTCTGTCCACGTTACAACGACCTCAAACTATTCCTGTCAGCATCAAGATGTTTACAAACTATTCCCGCCAAATTTACGGTGGTCACAAACTGTCCTTGTCAACATTACGACGTTAACAAACTATTCCAGTTAACATTACGACGTTCACAACCTATTCCTCAAAATCATGGCGTCCACAAACTATTCTTGTCAACATAACAACAACAGACATCTTATTTTTGTTTACATCACGACGTCTATAAACTATTCTTGTAAAGGATCGGTTCTTATAATGTCCACATACCAATGAACTCCTTACAGTATCTCCCCCAGACGTAACTGTAGTGAGCTACACTTACCCTACATGGGTTCTGACATTTACAGATAGGCCCTCCCTCCACGTCCGTGTCGTAACCGTATGGACATTGTAGTCCGCATTTCAGCTTGAAGTGTTTCAATGCCAAGGATCCACGACCGGGAAAACTGAGGACGACGGCAGATGAATAAACAGGATACAAGACCGTCTGTCCAAAGAAAGTATTACAAATACATTGTAGTATCGACTGTTAGTGCAAATGTCAAAATGGTTCTAGACAATTTATTGCACAATTTCTTCAAATGAGATTCTTTTATAAAAAGCCTAGTTTTGATAATTTTAATGAAGCTTGCAGTCAAGGCCATGGGCTGTGTAACAGTAGCATGGTAACGGAGCAATGGCTAAGCTACAAGTGTCCAAACTCCTGACGTAACTAGGTCAAGGAATACAAAATATTTCGAATGTAAACAATCAGGGATAGGTGTCCCTAATACAGCTATTATGCACTGAGGAAGAGGTGCTTATAATATTATTGTTACACAATAAGGGTGAGGGGCCCCTGATATTGATATTACACAATAACGGAATCTTCATGTTACACAATAAGCGTCCCTTTACCGAGTTCACACAATCGGAGAGAAGTGTCAATAATATTAATGTCATACAATAAGGGAAATGTGCCCCTAATAGTTATATACACAATAAGGGACAGGAACCCCTAATAGTGATATACACAATAAGGGACAGGAGCCCCTAATAGTGATATACACAATAAGGGACAGGAGCCCCTAATAGTGATATACACAATAAGGGACAGGAACCCCTAATAGTGATATTACACAATAAGGGACAGGAACCCCTAATAGTGATATTACACAATAAGGGACAGGAGCCCCTAATAGTGATATACACAATAAGGGACAGGAGCCCCTAATAGTGATATACACAATAAGGGACAGGAACCCCTAATAGTGATATTACACAATAAGGGACAGGAACCCCTAATAGTGATATTACACAATAAGGGACAGGAACCCCTAATAGTGATATACACAATAAGGGACAGGAACCCCTAATAGTGATATACACAATAAGGACAGGAACCCCTAATAGTGATATTACACAATAAGGGACAGGAACCCTAATACTGATATTACACAATAAGGGACAGGAACCCCTAATAGTGATATTACACAATAAGGGACAGGAACCCCTAATAGTGATATACACAATAAGGGACAGGAACCCCTAATAGTGATATACACAATAAGGGACAGGAACCCCTAACAGTGATATACACAATAAGGGACAGGAACCCCTAATAGTGATATACACAATAAGGGACAGGAACCCCTAATAGTGATATACACAATAAGGGACAGGAACCCCTAATAGTGACATACACAATAAGGGACAGGAACCCCTAATAGTGATATTACACAATAAGGGACAGGAACCCCTAATAGTGATATTACACAATAAGGGACAGGAAACCCTAATAGTGATATACACAATAAGGGACAGGAACCCCTAATAGTGATATACACAATAAGGGACAGGAACCCTAATACTAATATTACACAATAAGGGACAGGAACCCTAATAGTGATATTACACAATAAGGGACAGGAACACCTAATAGTGATATTACACAATAAGGGAAAGGTGCCCCTAATAGTGATATTACACAATAAGGGACAGGAACCCCTAATAGTGATATTACACAATAAGGGAAAGGAAACCCTAATATCTATGTCATACAACAGCCGCCCGAAATTCCAATGATATACAATAAGTGATAGGAGCCCCTAAATACCGAGGTTATAGGAAGGTGAAAGTTAATGCATACCATTGAAATATGAGCGCCGTGCGATGTATAGAACGAATCTATCAGATTATTACAACTAGCACCGCTAAACAGGCCATCTACATAGACGGTTAGTGTAGCGATTTCAAATTACAGCTCTGTGACTTTAATGAGTAAGTATTGGGTGGCGATTGTGTTGATGTGATCAATCTGCCGAGTCACCGTGCCCTTACATCACCACTATCTACCTGTCACCTTATTTTAAGATTATGATATGTTTAAATATAGTGTCGTCACGCAGGCTGAGGACAAGATTGATGGGACAAAATAGGATCGTCCACAATAACACCGTTAACGACTTCATCTCAATAGACTTGGTGATCTAACTCCGCGTTAAATTAATCGACAGATAAAATTCGTCTCCTCGTCCATTCTAATCCGCGTATGATAACTATCAGTTAAAAACTGTCCTAGTCTTCCTCCGCGGGTGTTTACAGTATCAGAATGTATACGCTTCAAAATTGGTGTAAAGATAGGATAGATTTAAAGATTTACTCACCAACAGTAAACACAATCCGTGGTAGTAACTACAAACATTAGCCGGCTTCATACTGACAAGTTAAAATAGCACCACGTGTATATCCCACAAAACAGATCTCACCGCCACCAATCTCGGTTCACAACTTAATATTGGCATCTCAGAGCCGTACACAGTAATTTATAGCTGCCTGGCGATTACGTCCTCGCCGGCTTTGGAATGTGTGGGTCAATTTAGCCACTAAAACAGGATGTTTTCCGCAAGTACTGCGACGCGCTTTAAAAGCCACACCCCCAGTCTAGGTCGATTCATACTTTTATCCATATATGTCACATAAGTGAATGACATACAGATGTCAGTTGGATTGAGCTTTTCTGTGATTGGTTGGCTGTAGAAGGCGTAACAAAATATAGTGTCAGAAACTCAACGTGCCAGAACCAATAGTAAACATGTAGTAGAGCTGTTCATGTGTATATATATTTAATGTGTAGGTATATATATATATACCACTGTATTGCTGAGAAGTGACCTTACTAACCAGTGACCCACATCAGCCTCGGCGCCTGTTTACGCGAACTATACAGCGGTCGAGCAAAACAACACCAATGAAGCTAAACCACGGAATTTTGAGTCACTACGAAGTTTTTTTAGGCCTTGTGGAACTGAGAGACGGGAGGAGAATGTTGTCAGTTGTGAGGAGATTCGGAGAATTAGGCCGATGTATGCCAATTGTGCGTTATTAGCATCACACGATGTTGGCCGCTGTTAGGGAAGTCTTGGGGATCATTGGTGTGACGGGTTTGGCACAGAACTGACGGCTGTCGAATAGAAAATTATCTAAATACACCCGTCATTCTCAAGCCTTCTATTTAGGCTAGGTCTTGCGTGAGTACAGCGTTGAGGACATGGCAAACACAACTGTACTCTAGTGTTATATCTGCAAATAGACTGCAGAATCTATTTTAAACATTGCAGACTCGCATAGTTTCCACTGTATCTTTCTACACGTGCCTAATTTCACGTGCATTTCTGACGTACACATGACAGCAGGGCCCTCGTGACACTTGGCGAGTATTGATGAATCGTGCCATCTGGATAGTATGTTACTAAATAAATCTTTCGGACGTTTCCAGTCGGATCCTCTTGGTTTGCACGTGTTTAATTACTATTTTGTATTGCCTTTATGAACAGATCCAGGATTTTTTTTTTGTAATTGCTTGTGTCAACTCCGCCCCAATAAAGTATGGCACAGTCGTAAGATACCGGTTGGCCAGAAGCGAGCCTGTCAGAGCCGAGATATATAACGGGGACACAAGAATTTATTGTAGTTTATTTAGAGAATTTGCTCCAATACGTATTTAACGGACGTTCAAGTATCGAGATGGTTCCTTAATATATCTATAGTCACATCGCCAAGTCTGTATACATCTCAAGGTTATCGACACACTGTTCAGTAACACTTTAATAGCGTTCTAAAAGTGTATTACATTCCTTGAGAAGATAACAATATTTTAAATTGTATTCATAAAGAATAACATTTTTGAAGTACAATTCTTAAAGACTTTTCATAAAATTAAAACGCCAAAATGCATCATATTTAACAATGAATAGTAAACGAAGCATCAGGGGGTAACACGCGAGGTAATCGCCATCCATAAAGAACAATACTAGACGAAAACAGTAAAATATGTCTTCACACTCAGCAATTTATTATTAATACAAATAGATTTTGATCCACCTCTCTCTCCTCCCCTCCTCACCTTCTGTCTTTCCTTCTCGCTCTCTTTCTACTCTCTCTTTTCATCTCAGCAGAACTCATTTTCTATAACATATTTTAAAAAACCACCTTGAATATGTATATTTTGTAAATATGTTGTTGGGAAAGGGCTTAATATAAGTTGGATAACTTGTGCCCAATCCCTTGTATATAACTGATAAACAAAACAATACTTCCAAAGTACACTGTGGGCAAAACACGCTAAAGTACACTGTGGGCAAAACACGCTAAAGTACACTGTGGGCAAAACACGCTAAAGTACACTGTGGGCAAAACACGCTAACGTACACTGTGGGCAAAACACGCTAAAGTACACTGTGGGCAAAACACGCTAAAGTACACTGTGAGCAAAACACGCTAAAATACACTGGGTAAAACATGCTAAAGTACACTGTGGTCAAAACACGCTAAAGTACACTGTGAGCAAAACACGCTAAAGTACACTGTGGGCAAAACACGCTAACGTACACTGTGGGCAAAACACGCTAAAGTACACTGTGGGCAAAACACGCTAAAGTACACTGTGAGCAAAACACGCTAAAGTACACTGTGAGCAAAACACGCTAAAGTATACTTTGGGCAAAACACGCTAAAGTACACTGTGGGCAAAACACGCTAAAGTACACTGTGAGCAAAACACGCTAAAATACACTGGGTAAAACATGCTAAAGTACACTGTGGTCAAAACACGCTAAAGTACACTGTGGGCAAAACACGCTAAAGTACACTGTGAGCAAAACACGCTAAAGTACACTGTGGGCAAAACACGCTAAAGTACACTGTGGGCAAAACACGCTAAAGTACACTGTGAGCAAAACACGCTAAAATATACTTTGGGCAAAACACGCTAAAGTACACTGTGGGCAAAACACGCTAAAGTACACTGGTCAAAACACGCTAAAGTACATACTAAAGTACACTGTGGCAAAACACGCAAACTGTGAGCAAAACACTAAAGTGCTAAAGGCAAAACACGCTAAAGTACACTGTGGGCAAAACACGCTAAAGTACACTGTGAGCAAAACACGCTAAAGTACACTGTGGGCAAAACACGCTAAAGTACACCGTGGGCAAAACACGCTAAAGTACACTTTGGGCAAAACACGCTAAAGTACACTGTGGGCAAAACACGCTAAAGTACACTTTTTTATTCTAACGATGGGTATTAGTTTTGGATAAGCACACTATTCGCACATAGTCACGAAGAAACTACAAAATACAAAAAAATGCACAATCATTAAGGGGGTATTATAATTAACAAAGTACACTAACAATTTAAGATGGTATTTTAAATTCTAGAGTACAAGAGTGAAACGCCAATGTGCACCTTGTTCCGTAAGAGAAACTGCTTAAAGCAAAATACATTTTATATATTTAAAGACAATTGAAACTGCTAAAGATAAAATACATTGTATGTGTTACGAGGCAAACGAAACTGTTTAAGTTAAAATACATTATATGTATTACGAGACAATTGAAACTGTTAAAGGTAAAATACATTGTATGTATTACGAGACAAACGAAACTGTTAAAGGTGAAATACATTGTATTACGTGACAAACGAAACTGCTAAAGGTAAAATACATTGTATGTATTACGAGACAAACGAAACTGCTAAAGGTGAAATACATTGTATTTATTACGAGACAAACGAAACTGCTGAAAGTAAAATACATTATATGTATTACGAGACAATTGAAACTGTTAAAGGTAAAATACATTGTATGTATGTATTACGAGTATTACGAGACAAACGAAACTGCTAAAGGTAAAATACATTGTATGTATTACGAGACAAACGAAACTGCTAAAGGTAAAATACATTGTATGTATTACGAGACAAACGAAACTGCTAAAGGTAAAATACATTGTATGTATTACGAGACAAACGAAACTGCTAAAGGTAAAATACATTATATTTATTACGAGACAAACGAAACTGCTAAAAGTAAAATACATTATATGAATTACGAGACAAACGAAACTGCTAAAGGTAAAATACATTATATGTATTACGAGACAATTGAAACTGTTAAAGGTAAAATACATTGTATGTATTACGAGACAAACGAAACTGTTAAAGGTGAAATACATTGTATTACGTGACAAACGAAACTGCTAAAGGTAAAATACATTGTATGTATTACGAGACAAACGAAACTGCTAAAGGTAAAATACATTATATGTATTACGAGACAAACGAAACTGCTAAAGGTGAAATACATTGTATGTGTTACGAGACAAACGAAACTGCTAAAGGTAAAATACATTGTATGTATTACGAGACAAACGAAACTGCTAAAGGTAAAATACATTATATGTATTACGAGACAAACGAAACTGCTAAAGGTAAAATACATTGTATGTATTACGAGACAAACGAAACTGTTAAAGGTGAAATACATTGTATTACGTGACAAACGAAACTGCTAAAGGTAAAATACATTGTATGTATTACGAGACAAACGAAACTGCTAAAAGTAAAATACATTATATGAATTACGAGACAAACGAAACTGCTAAAGGTAAAATACATTGTATGTGTTACGAGACAAACGAAACTGCTGAAGGTAAACACTGTATTACTCCACTGGTCTGGTTTGCATACTTTTTGCTGTTTGGAAAACAGACGTCGCCAGAAGTACATCACTCAAAGAGAAAACAATTTAAAGAAAATGGAAAGAGTGTGATGGATATGTAGATACGTTATCCGTTAAGTCGCCAGGCCTCACTAGAGACTCTGCACTACAGCTTTTAAAGCTCAAAGATATTACTTGAAAGGGAAGGCATTAGTTGGCCCAGCAAAACGGTCCAATCTGATGTAACAATGCGCGTTATAATTCTACTCTAATAACTAAGCCTGTATCAGATGGTTTATTCAACAAGGACTTCCGGTCTGTAACTTCCTGTCTCAAGCATATATCTGACAATGATCGCACGAGAAAAGACTAAAGGATAAGTTCAAGTATAGGACAAGCCAAAATGACATGTTTTCAATAACACAGTTCTAGATGACAGACAGCTTACCCTGTAAAACGTTAATTATCATGATCATGGACAAAGTCCGATTGCCCAGAAACACAGATAATTATCATAATGATAAACAACGCGCTGATTACCCAACAATGAAAACAATTATTATGTTTATAAACAACGGTCGGATTTGAATTAGGGTAAAATTATGGCAGCAAAATTATGAAAAATATGTTGCTTTTAACAAAAATGCTATTCTAAAAAACTTGGTATTTAGCCTTTGCCAGAGGTACCAGCGATTGTAAAGCGGGGTAGTTTGAGATGGAACTGGACCGTTACAACACTACCGTTATGATGAGGTCTGTTTACATAATCGCTTGGTCACTTCGTAATAACTGAGAGCAGACAGCCCCTACTGTCATAGTAGACAGAAATCGTTATAACATTC